AAATAATGTATGAACGCAATGCGGAAGTGATTTGCCGATGTTTGCGATATTTTGGCTTTGATTTTGGTGGGAAAAACGGCATGATTTTTTTTTTCAAATCAAGAAATTAGTTATTTTTGGAAAGTAAACTGAGCATTTAAAGAATAATTTAACACTGTTTACTGTGACAACAGCGCATTTGAAACAGAACATTTTCGCGTTGTTTTAATTTCGTTTTTATGGACTTACTGCGAAATTAAAAACCACGCTGATATTTTCTACAGTAGACTAAAAAGACATGTTTCAAGAGATTATAGACCGATTTCTTAAAAATTGTTAGAAACAAAACCAATTTTTTTTACATAAAAGCCATTCGTACAGTAACAGCGAGGGACTTCCGCGATCGCGTCTATCGCTACGAACCGTTAACCGGTAGTCGTTCCGCCGGCGCCCAATTCACGATCATTACGTGCCAAAATTTCAACTTTGTCTGGCGCTTAATTGAGGTGTAAAATACAAAGTTTTTGTGGCACTGGCGCCTAATTGAAGGTGGCGCTTAACTGAAGACAAATACGGTACATGTTAGGATGCATGTCCATGACAATTTGTTTCAAAATCTGGTCAAGGATGGCCGATTGACAGCCATCTGACTTTTTGGCCTTACTGCTATATTTCCACAATTTATGTACCATTTTCATTCATATTTAGCACATACATCATACATATCAGTGTGTTTCATAATCAGATAAAAGATGGCCGAATAACGGCTGTTTTTATTTTTGGCCATATTACTACTACAAAGAACACAATCTGTTGTATACGCCACTTGGAACTCAAGTTTCAAGGACATGCTCGCGACAACCCCTACACTTTATTATGACGAGCACATAGAGAACTTTTAAAAATTTAACGGGGACTGTGTCATTTTCAATGACTTGTTATATTCAGAATTTGCCAGCGTCGAGTAGGAGGCCTGACAGTGGAGGTACCGATATTTTTTCGATCTCCCCCCGCTGATCAGAGGGCATCCTCACAGTCTGTGTTTTCAGGCGGTGGTTTACCCGATTTTACCGGCTACAGCGAGGCTGTGCCCTTGGAGGTTTTTTCCTCCTATTGGGCCTGTCGCGGGTCCCTTTGTGGATCTTTCCTCACACTGTGCCAGGTTTGCCTCCGAGTTGATGGCTTTGGTCGAAGGACTGTCGGGGCAAATTGCGTTCCTGTGTTACGGCCCAGGCAGGCAGGCAGGATAGGCCAGCCTCCCCAACTTCCATAACCAGGTGGTTTACTGCGACTGTATTAGATGTCTATAATACTTTAACTGTCTCGACACAGAGCTTGCAGAGACACCAAGTACGAGCACATGAGGTCTGTGTGATTGCCAACTCACTAGTGGTAGCGCCAGGTGCCCCCCCCCCCCCTCGAGCATACACGAAGGGTCGGCTTCTGGAGAACGCAGAACGTCTTTATCAACTGCCACCTAACAGACACCAAATCCATTGAGGAAGGTCTCTTTAGGTTGGGTCCCGTCGTAGCGGGTCAGTCTTGGTTTGCTGACCCAACCCGAACGACCTTTTTTGCAGACAGATTTCTCCACCATCAGCATTCCCTGGAAGCTCCCAGGGCCCGCTTTTCAGCCTATGCCCTCATGCAGAACTGTTTCTGTCTTTCGAATTGGGTTGGGGTCTAGCTTTCTCGGGCACACCGAACCCTGTCACCGTAGCAGCATTTTGGCTTCTTGCTTCGGGGACAGCACAGTCAAGGTAAGACACCACCCTTTTGGGGTCTTAACTAAGGTGTCGAGTTTATTGTAGTTTGTTTCATCCCGGACTGGGAAAAGACTTTCATCACCTTTTTCTGTTTGCTCAGAAAACCCGCCACCTATCGGCATCTGACTCTGCCTACAGTTCAAAATAGTCATTTTGACTGACTGGAGTCTATGGTGGGTATGAACTATGTAAATAGGTGGGTTCGGAGAACCCTCTGCCCAATTTTAACTTGTTATAGTCAACCATATTGTATTAGTTGATATATTTTTAGCATATATTGATACAAAAATACATATTTGCACAGACCATATTGATATACTCCGGGATAGTGTAATAATTGATTTATTTAACCATATCATATTGATATATCATACATGTATATCCTATTCTACATTCCTACCATGCCTGTTTTTGTAGGTGCACCAACAAATGAAAAATGTAAACTGTTGAAATTTAAACGAGAAGAGCAAGCAGAGCTGGCATCTCTGGATACCAGTAATATCATCAAGACACCAGAAAGAGGTTTGAACTGATTTATCTATTTTATTCTAGTCTAGTCTAGTGTTGTATTGTATTGTGTCATAGCTATTTTAGTATTATCTAGTATATAATGTAGTGTCTAGTCTTATAGAGGTTATTGTCCAGAGGCTCTGTGATAAAAAAAGTTCACTAATATACAAGGCACTGTATGTTTTGGTTAAATATGTTTATTTGTAACTGGCACCTCGTATATTGTTCAAGTCAATGTCCAAAGACTGTCAGCAACAAAATGTTTCACAATTATGAAATCATATATTTTTTTTATTTTTGTGTTGACTGTCGCTTTTTCACCAAAATGATGTTTAAATTATGTACTGTTATGTCACATTAAAAGAACTGTGTAACTCCACACCAGTGACATAATAGTGCCCACTTTTCGAAATTTAAGATTTTTCATACATTGTTATTTTATGCATTCTTAGGTAGAAGAGCAACTAGACAAGTACACAGTCGGTATCAAAGCACACCTGTCGTCATGGAAATTAAAAAAAGAAGATTGTCAAGTAGTGATGATGACAGTGATGACGTTCGAAAGAAAAATCCATTTGCAAATCTAAAAGGAATTATTACTGATTCTGAAAGTGACTAGTTAAAAATATGTTTGATTCAGAACTTATTCCTAATCTTAATATTTTCACATTATTTGTGTTAACGACTCTTGATTGGCAGTCACATTTCTGTGGACATAATGTTGCTTAATCTTGTAGTATATAGTAAATTACTTTGTCTTTGTGATTTAATCATCAAATTTGTACGCCAACATATGAAAATACGTCTTTCTGTGACATTCTAACTCCTGGGATGGACTGTCCACTAAAAACACTGCCATCAATTTAACCAAAGTTTATAACCTGATTTCTGTTCAAATTTTCACTATATGTCTTTTTGATAAATTTCACCGTATTCTATTATTATAGTCAATGTGTGAAAATGATCCAGTGAGAGAAACCATGAAAAGAATTCCATTCACATGGTGAGGTTTTTTATTCTACATAACATGGACAGTCATAATATGAAAATTATGTGATTTATGTTTCTGTGAGAAAGTACAGTAAAACCCTGTAGACATGTAAACATTGCCTGCTGAAATTCTCCACAGACATAGGAAAATCAATGCGAAAAATGGAGTTAGCAGGCAATGTATTAATTAAACAGAGCAAGTGAGTTGAAGATGTTTTTGACTCCCTTCTCCAGAGACTACTTTAGAACTTTACAAATTCTATCAGAATAAAACATGAATGTATTTCTATCATAGTGCATAATGCAAAACAGGATAGGCTGAGTTCAATTAAACCTCTACTGTTTTCTATTTTTGATTGAAAGCCATTTATATATGACATGATTTGTGGTAAATATTTAGTATTTCCAACATTCCTTGCAAATCAATAAAAATTAAATTGTCTTCAAGTGACTTCAGTTCATACAGGCTTTTCCGATGACCAAAGTTTTTTTATAATAACAGACTTTCAACTATATATGAGACAAAATTATTTTATGGAAGCTGAAACCAATACATCATTTATATATAATTATAGAGATAGACATTTTATACAAACTGACATTTATAGTTGCATTTCAATTTTGCAAATTTGTGGAGGGCTATTTATTCCCTGACCAATATAGATGCCATCAAACGTTGAGATTGTGGATGAGTGATGAGGATTATAAGTCTTCTTAAACCGAATTAGAAGGTTTTGTGTTTCCTTGAAGTTCAATTTTGTTGCCCTCAGCGACCGAGTAAAAAACATAAAATATTGGGGTTTTTTTTTTGTTTTTTTTTAGGCCCAAATATTAAAAACTCATCATTTTATGCAGTAAAAAAGTGGAAAAATTAAGGATCCCGGAACATTTGATCCCTAGAGTCCCCGTAAATGGCGACTTTGAACCTTGGGTTGATTTGTATTTCTCTGTCATGTTCCGAATACTATGAAGTCCATATACCTTGGCTATTTACGATACTCTTAGTTTTCACGAATATAAAAAAAAAATCAGACCAACCGACCCAATTTTTACATTTTTTGACTTGAGGGCAACATAAGTTTTTTTTTTTTGGCCTTACATTGTGGATGAGACCCTCCAGTACCCTCAAAATAAAATTGAGGAGAAGTGAGGACAGGATATTTATTGTTAGCTATAACGACATCATTTGAACACGTTCATGTTTTGTTCTGTGTGGGATGTTTTACATATTTGCAAAGTGGGAATGGAACTTTAAATTTGTACTACAATAAATAATGTTAAATTTTGAAATAATATTTTTTAGAATAATGTTTATGTGACCATATTGTTTACACTGCCATTTGTTAAACAGTTTTCAGATGTTTCTAGACTCTATTATATAATACTTTTGAATGATATAATAATATATATTAAAGTTTGTTTGTGTCTTTATCTAGTATTCTGTTATTTTCATTGCTAAAAATGTGATTTTCAGCTTTTTGCCTGATATCTCAAGTACTGTAAATGTAATTTGTTTTTGCATGTACACCTAATTTGGATTGAATAGCT